CTCCGTAACGAAGTTTTCCGGATGGTTCATGGTTCAAAGCGAAGAAGTTATGATACGTGTTTTTAACATGCAGTAGGGTTTGGGGACTACTGGCATGGCCCGGAGGCCCGGCCACCCGGTGAAGGTACAATGGCGGTATCTATAAGTGGTTCGTTACCAAACTCGAGAGATAAACAAAAATCAAAGTTTTACTGCTGCAAAGTAGTCGAAAGTGCTCTAGAGGCTTCCAAACTTTCCCATGCATTTACGTGGTTTCATTTGAAGCGTTGACGGCAAGAGGAGTGTCGTATTTAGACGTGCTTGAGCTTAACTTGCGACTAGTTCCATCCGGCAATTGGGTTGTCCTTACAGTTGAGTAATTTATCACCACTGGGCTTGAGGTAGCTGTGAGCGTTATGTGCGGATTGCACATCCACGACAAATGAGTAAAACAGAGCCTTGAAATCGGTTTTCGAAGGCAAGGCAGTGAGTGAATGGATGGCAAGGAAACTGGGTGTTAATGTTCAGTAAACTGAACCAGGTGGGTACCTATGAAAGCAAAGACGTTTACTCAATTACTCCTGATGTGTTGTCTGTCATTACTATGGTGACATGCATTTTGCAAAGGCAACTAAGTCAGTCTGATGTGGTGGAAAATGTACTGAAAGAAGGCTGTGGATGGTTCAAGAGATGCTGTTCCGTGATCTTAGTTTCCTTCTTGCATTGCACATAGTCTACCTTTGTGGTTTTCTTCTAACAAATCGAATAAGAGCTGCCTCTACCATCCTATTCGCCCAGATTCCATTTTGCTCACTTTTGGTGCAACTTTAAATGTTGAACATGAATGCCTTGACTTCGCAGAAGGGAAAAGGTGCATGACACTATCTGTGGTTCAGATTATGCAATTTCTTTTTTCTTCCTTGCTCTCTTGGAAAATTAACCAGCACACAAATAAACTTGTATATATTCTTTGTATTTCAGTTTTTGAATTCTTTTTTATCGAAGCCGAGTTGTTGTTTGATTTTGACCTCGGGTGTTTCATCAAGTTTTTGGACTTTCATGCATTGAAATATTTGGAGTTTGACGGCGATTTTACGGATGCTGTTAATAAATGCTCAAGCACTGAAAATTGTTTGTGGCATTCAAATCCCAAATGGAGCTTTCACAGCATCGCTAAGCATTTTTATTGTGATTCATGATACGAATCTAAATCAGGTTAGTGCAATACCAGCCATTTACTGCCTGTCGCGCTCTAAAGAAGCCGTAGGACGCACGAATTTTGAAGCAGCCTTTCTAGTATGGAAAAAGGCAGTGAACGGTACGATATGGATAGCGAAAAAGCAAAATGGTCTACGTACTAATGTTGATGAAGGCGTTGTCTATCCCCTACGTAGCCGTTCTTGGCGCTTCCATTGGTAATTATTCCCTGTTTCGTCCCCCCAAAGCTGCCGGATATTCAGATTTTGTTTACCATGATTGTTGTTACAAAAACTTCCGATAGCCCTTCTCTTGTCAGTCCCCCATTTTCAGTTATCCACACCTGATGTCTTGCTTCTGTTACGCTTTTTGTCATTCCTTAACTGGGCGATTATTTTGGCCACAAATCGTCCCCAAAGCCTCAGTAGAAGTCGACATGTCTTTTACATCTTATTATAAACTGTCTCCAATCGTACAGCCTTGAGACGTTATGAGCTATACGAGTCTGAAGATGGCTTTATTATGGACACGGAAGGGTCGAAAAGTTATTTGATTGGTTAATGACTTGGGTAAAGCCTTAAGTCCAGTTACGCGATGCTAACAGACACCTGCTTCACCATCATGTGTTCATTTGTCGTGGCCTCGCTACCAACATCAACTATTAGTCCTCGTGTTGCCCCCATTCGGTCTCTACCCCTTCGCCTTCTGTACAGGCGTCTGCACTCGAGAGCCGCCCTACTACATAGTGGCGGAGTACATGCCCCATGGAAACCTGCTGAATTACCTGCGCCAACGGAGTCCAGGAGAACTCACCCCACCCATTCTCCTCTACATGGCTGTTCAAATCGCCTCCGGCATGGCCTATCTGGAAGCCAACAACTTTATTCACCGGTCAGTGATTCTTTTTGATAGTATTTGTGTGGTTGTTCTTACCGTCTTATCAATGACGCCTTCATTTCGTTTGCTGGAGCTTACCACGGGAGTGAAGTGCGGCTTCAAATTTGGTAGTCAAATGAGGACATTTGGGAGGTTTTTGGGTCATTCTCAATTCTCGTTATGATCCTTCTGCTTGAGTTAAATCAGCTAGACAGTGATCATCATTTGTTTGATATCTACACTTATTTGAAGTAAATTTATAATATCTTGTTTTTACTAATTCCTGCCTTGGAATCAGTAATTGGAATAAAGAAGAGTATTTCGGTGATTTTGGACACAAGAAGTGTTGCAGTTTCATTCATTATCGTCCTTAACTTCCCCAAAATCTTGTATTTCAAAGATCAACTGATTTGGGTCTTTTGAGTGCCTTTGAAATGATGATTTTTGTAGTTGCTACTTCCACCGATAATATCTGAGTCAAGTGAGCGGTAAAGACAAAACCCAAGACTTGTTAGCAGCCTCTCTTTCCCAGTCTCTTTGATGGTCAGCAATGTTATTTATCCATCGATACCTTTGAGACGCCGTTTTCGTGATGATACGTATTTACCACTATTGGCGTTATACCGGATAAGTTATTAATGTAACACTGGCGTTATTCCTGTTGAAGATTTACAGTGTACAGCTCTGGAAGTAGCTGTGCTAGCAAACTTACGGAAAGACTGGGAGACCATTAGCACAGGTGTAGTTATCGGTTCCTTCTCGGTGTTGGCCTCTCAGTTGTATCACGGGAGTTCAGAGAGGTTCGTGTAGTCGCCAATGTTTAAATTTTGCCTGTCCCGTTGTGCGGCAAAGGTGGGGAGACTTGCCCTGAACTCAATCTGCGTCAATAACATCCCGAACTTTCCAAATAAAACGCAGCTTTTCAGGAATATCACTCCGCTTTAGAAATAAAATAACGAAGACAGCATGCATTTTTAAATACTCCAGTTTTGAGAAAAAAAAGATATCAGATTAAAGCTTGCATTGCTTGTTTTGTAGAACAACTGGCACATTCCGCACCGCTAATCTAAAAGTTTAAGGGGAGTGGGAATGGAGTAAAACCAATTTGTATAATTCAAACGAACGCTAACATTTTGTAGCTCTCCGAGCCTTTCCTGGAGACCAAAGAAGACAATATCCGGACAGAATATGTATTAGTGATGTATAGTAGGACTTGGGACTACTAGCGTGGCCTGGAAGCCAGACCCCCGGCAGAAGTACAATAGCAGAGTCTTTTAGGTGCCTCATTACCAGAATCGAGAGTTAAACAAACATTACAATTTACCTCAGTTTGAATTAAGCCTTAATAGGAGTAAAATTATGGTGAAGATATGAAGGAACGCCTTTTGAATGACTTGACCAATTGGATGTCATAATGTAAATGAACTTCACTTGTTTGAGCTATAGATAGGAAAATTTATGCCTCTGGCTCATACTAAACTGCACCCACACCTTCGTTACCAGGATATGGGCACAAAAGTTGCCATTACCTTCGGCGTGTTTAATTTCTCCTCCTTCCCCCCTCCTCCATTATCTGGACCTTCACTCTCCCTTTCATCAATCAGACTTATCTTCTTTGCTTTTGCGTGTGTTTATAAAAAGCATACAAACAGGGGATTGTGGCTGATTCATCGGCGCTAACCCCTCTGTAGGTATGTACACTGTTTGGTCAATGCCTGTTCCAGGTAACATAACACCGTGCCTAACAGTTGTTGCGTTTCAACCACAACCTATCCGGTCGGGCTGGCAGGCGGATTGCCCTGCATGTTTTCCTTACCTTTTCCCCTCCTTTCCTCCTCCACCGTTGCAACATGGGCATTACTCACCTCTTCATTTCTGATTCCAACCTTCCCGGTAAATTATTTCTCCCTTGAGATTACAATTGTTCCCTCAAACACTACTGTTCGCCAGTTTAATCGCAACTCAGGTCAGGTCACTTTGGGAATTTCTAGGTTATGGATGCGATTTCCAGTCAAATGTTGTCCTTCAAAATCGTTTTAAAGGCTACTAGCAAATCGAATGCTTCCTCGGAAACACTGATACTAACGCATATTCGCTGTTTTAAGGATTTATACACTCTCATTTTAAAACGCTGGAGGCAGGAGAAAGGAGGAGAGAGCAAACCTTTGCCCCCTGCGACTACTTATATTCGACAATCCAAATGTTTTTGTATTTTTGGAGGAGTTGTCACATTGAAACGAAGGTAGCTACGAAAATCTTAGGTAAATTAAACTAAGGTAGAAACATTGTTCTGTTTTGCTCATTTTATGAACAGCTGGTATGTAACGGCAACATCATCTCATTCAAGTCGGCATGGGGACAAAGCCACTTCTTGTATAGCTGAAAACGATCCCACTGATCTGACAGATGCCGAGTGATTTGGGATTTCAGCTGAAGTGAAGGAAAGAGCATGAAAACTGATCCCCTCACTGTTAAAGCATTAGCATTGTCAACATTTCTGGTTTCAATTTAATGCTGGGTATTTCACCGTGTAACTGAAATTGCATTCACTTGGTCTTAATTCGACCCATCACTATGGCTGCGAGGAGTGAGGGGCGAATCTAAATCCTGTTTTGCATGAATGGTAAAGGTCTTTTCTAAAGGAATTAAAGGAAACCTAGGGGGTCATTTAAAACCTCTCATTGTTTCCAAGTTGGATCAGACGCAGTGATGGTGTGAAGGGAAAGCTAATTGGTCATTTGTCGTGTTGATCTTGTCATACGACTGTCTCTTGTCGGTAAGCCGTTCGATTTTGCACATATGTAAAGGCGTTGTCACATTGGAGTAGGACTGGCTGAGAAAGTAGACTTGAAAAACGGCGATCTATTATACATTAGGTGGTGACAGGTATGTGCTGGGATATGTGTTTGCTATGGGGATATTAACTCTGTGTTCGAGTAGCCTACCAATGGGCAGTAAAGTTTGAAGCTATTCGCCCAGATGTGATGGGCGTGGTGCGCTCTGCATATCCAGTTATCCACGACTACAACCACTAAGATGCAAGTAAGTAGTCCTGAGACTTATTTGCAGGAAAGGATATCTAACAAATACTGAATACGGGTTCTGAATCCGTAGCAACTTCAGTTCCATTGTAGTGTGTGTACCAGGTGAATGCCTAGACAACCGTTAATTTCGAGTTACTCGATCCTCTTGCTTATTTTCGAAACACCAGACACCCCTGTTGTAGGAAAGGTGAAAGTGGCATCAAGATAAAGTTACTTTTTATGTGCTGTGGACTAACTAGCCTTTTAAAAGTTCGAAAACCTCCTCCATCCTGATTCTGCACTTTCCATCTAAGTGCGGCTTGAGGAAACAGGACGCTGAGTTCAATTCTTTTACTAGATACTGCAGATGCGGTTTCGAAACTTTCTGTCGGAGTGTTCTCATTTTTCTATTGTGCTTTCTTTTTTGTTACGAAATAAGATACGCTGAAGGATCTTTTTAGTACTACTCGAAAGGGGTTTCGCTAATTATTGCCTTTTTCGAGCCAGAACTACTGCTTTGCAGTAGTTTTTCAGCGTATTTGGCTTGTTTGATAAAAATAGCCTTTGAAGTTTAGACTGCACTTTATGCTAAGGCAATCTCCCATCATTCATGAGGCTAGTTTCATTTCGCAAAATTAAGAGGTTTTTACCCTTAAATATCTTCCCTTGAGAACGCGCTTTCAATATAATAACTTTACTTAAATCACCTATTGTGTTTCTTATTTTACTTGCTCTCCATAACTACCATTTTCAACTTTGCTATCTAGTTCAATGAATATCACAACCTAACTTCGTCTTCTTGCCAGGCGCTGTCAAAATCTTGCGTGACTGGCAATAGGCAGTCCCTCTGCTATCCTTAATAAATTAAACAACCGCATCACCTGCCATTACTGACCTATTAAATTATGCTCCAGTTTCTTTTCTGTACTTCGAGGCCAACCCCTGTAGTTTCCCAATTTGATGAATAAGGGGAGGTTCCCATACCCTCTTTGGGAGCCTTTTACACTTGTGTAGCGCCCTAAGCCCTTCTTGAAGACGAAAGAAGTACAAAAGCGGAGTTTTAATTGCCCGTGAAACCAGAAC